ACTCTCGCGCACGAACGCGGTCGCGTGTGTGTGTGTGTGTGTGTGTGTGTGTGTGTGTGTGTGTGTGTGTGTGTTACAGGTAACTGCTGATATGGTGATGGTTCAGAGGCGGATGCCTCAGTGTTTCCGGGATCCAGTGACTGCGCCCTTAAGAAAACTCTCCATCGAACTGATCAAAACATACAAACACATCAATGAGGTGCGTCACTCACGTGACTGTGTGCATTTTGCATATTTTATTTGGAATGTGTCAATGGTTAAATAAAATTTTTAGGTTTAATCAAAACTCATGTCTAATCAAATGAATTTATAAAAACATTTTAATTTATAAAGTTGTTTATAATAATAGGGCCCTAGGAAAGTTTTTATTTTATTTCTCCAGAAATTCTGTGTTGTGTATTTTAACTTTTCTGGCAACCAGATGAAGGCATGAAACATTAATATTAGGGATGCACGATATATCGGCCACCATATCGGTCTCCTGTGGTCGTAGAAAAGATCAGGACGTTTCAGAACCAACGATAATGAGATTAATTCTTAGAACGCTCCTATAGGGAATGTTTTTTCTAGATTTCTTCTGCTCTCTTAATATTTCGTATTATTTTGCCTGAGTATTGGTTTAGTATATATATATATAGTTTATATAGTAAACATATACTGTCGGCCGTGTGCCTGTTGGTAATGTGTGACTCTATCACAGCTCCTGTGGTCGTAGAAAAGATCAGGACGTTTCAGAACCAACGATAATGAGATTAATTCTTAGAATGCTCCTATAGGGAATGTTTTTTCTAGATTTCTTCTGCTCTCTAATATTTCGTATTATTTTGCCTGAGTATTGGTTTAGTATATATATATATATAGTTTATATAGTAAACATATACTGTCGGCCGTGTGCCTGTGTTTTTATTATAATACTTGCCAGAACTTTCTTCTTTCTGTTTGACCAATATGATCAGATAAAAGATGGGTTAGGTTATTCAAGACATTATCATAGCCACATAATGGTCATTTTCACTACATCATGATGAATTGTTTTGGGGCTGTGTCACTGTTTGTGTTTTGTAGGGAAGAAACCTTTGTACTGTTATTCGTTGCCTGAGTTATTGATTTAGAATGCATGAGGACACAGAGACTGGTGTTGTGTCTGGTATCAATCCAGCTGTACTGTACACAAGAGCACGTTTTATACGTTTGTGTGAGTACTGGTGGCTGATATGTTCATTAAATGTACATTGAATAATTTGGCAGATGCTTCCATCCAAAGGGACTTAAAAATGAGGAGAGAAACAGTAATTTATTAGGGATGCACCGAAATGAAAATTCTTGGCCGAAGCCGAACAAAATGAAACGCTGGGCCGAATACTGAACACATTTTTCCCCCATGTAGGCCTATTTTGCCATTTTTTTTCACCATTGCATTAATTAAATAGCCAAAATGTGCCTTTTACTGTTTTGTCCTGCTTTTCAAATAAAAAAATTAATTACAAAACAACAATTTAAAAATATTTACTTAACACTGAACTTTTTTTTTTAACATTCTAGCAGACATTATACCAACAAAACACATTTTCAATTAAAAATTAATAAGTTAGTAAAATAATAATTTTTGGCCATTTTTCAGACACCCTTCTTGAATCAGGTATGTATTTTTTACTGTACAAAGCAGAAGAGAATTCTCTTAAAACATTAGAATATATTACAGATCCCAATTTGAACACTGTGTGAATGTTATAATAAATGTATTAATAGAGCTGTTGTAGGGTAATTATTATTATTGTCTTTATTTTATTTTACAGAACGACTAAAATTGCAATACTATCATTTATGAATGTTGATGGAGTTGTTGCTTTTTCTCAGCTTTTACTTTGGCAGAACCCCGCAGGAAGATCTCAATGCTTCTTTTCGTTGACACCAGCAGCAGATTTATAAATTATTCTCATTACCAATTTGGGAAGATGTTTGTCGCACGTATCACATCGTCACATGCCTTTAACAAACTCACTAAATGTACTGAGCAACTGACGAGTAACAAGTTCAGTGCAGATCTTCCTCGCTTTGGACCCTGAACCCTGGCGCCGCGAGCTCGTGCAGCGCTTGAGAATACATGCAATTCGTGCGTGCATTAGAAAATATAACATTCTGCGGTTTATTTACTAATCGTTTGAGGTAATTTCACGATTTCAATCATCATACAGTAACCTAACCACCAGCATTAGCCACCTCTTCATCTCATCTGAGACGTGCGAGTCTCTGGCTGTCGGTGCTTCGTGCTTGTAATGATTTCTGCGTCTTTCTCTGATAGTTTTAAATGCTTTCACACTGCCGATGTTTGCTGCATTAGTGCATGCCTCTTTGATTGCGTTAGTTATTGTTCGGTGCTTATTCGGCAGAACACCGAAAGAGATTTTTTTGCTATTTTCGGACGAATAATTTCGGTTGCTGAACATTCGGTGCATCCCTATAATTAACCATACAGAAGAAACATTATTAGCAGGAATATTGGGTTTCGGGAGTAAATCAGAAGCGTAGCCATGGAAAGGCAGACAGAAGTGTTTGGGACTGTACACAAGAGCACGTTTTATACGTTTGTGTGAGTACTGGTGGCTGATATGTTCATTAAATGTACATTGAATAATTTGGCAGATGCTTCCATCCAAAGGGACTTAAAAATGAGGAGAGAAACAGTAATTTATTAGGGATGCACCGAAATGAAAATTCTTGGCCGAAGCCGAACAAAATGAAACGCTGGGCCGAATACCGAACACTGTTTTCACATTTTTCCCCCATGTAGGCCTATTTTGCCATTTTTTTTCACCATTGCATTAATTAAATAGCCAAAATGTGCCTTTTACTGTTTTGTCCTGCTTTTCAAATAAAAAAATTAATTACAAAAAACAATTTTAAAATAATTAATTAAACACTGAACTTTTTTTTTAACATTCTAGCAGACATTATACCAACAAAACACATTTTCAATTAAAAATTAATAAGTTAGTAAAATAATAATTTTTGGCCATTTTTCAGACACCCTTCTTGAATCAGGTATGTATTTTTTACTGTACAAAGCAGAAGAGAATTCTCTTAAAACATTAGAATATATTACAGATCCCAATTTGAACACTGTGTGAATGTTATAATAAATGTATTAATAGAGCTGTTGTAGGGTAATTATTATTATTGTCTTTATTTTATTTTACAGAACGACTAAAATTGCAATACTATCATTTATGAATGTTGATGGAGTTGTTGCTTTTTCTCAGCTTTTACTTTGGCAGAACCCCGCAGGAAGATCTCAATGCTTCTTTTCGTTGACACCAGCAGCAGATTTATAAATTATTCTCATTACCAATTTGGGAAGATGTTTGTCGCACGTATCACATCGTCACATGCCTTTAACAAACTCACTAAATGTACTGAGCAACTGACGAGTAACAAGTTCAGTGCAGATCTTCCTCGCTTTGGACCCTGAACCCTGGCGCCGCGAGCTCGTGCAGCGCTTGAGAATACATGCAATTCGTGCGTGCATTAGAAAATATAACATTCTGCGGTTTATTTACTAATCGTTTGAGGTAATTTCACGATTTCAATCATCATACAGTAACCTAACCACCAGCATTAGCCACCTCTTCATCTCATCTGAGACGTGCGAGTCTCTGGCTGTCGGTGCTTCGTGCTTGTAATGATTTCTGCGTCTTTCTCTGATAGTTTTAAATGCTTTCACACTGCCGATGTTTGCTGCATTAGTGCATGCCTCTTTGATTGCGTTAGTTATTGTTCGGTGCTTATTCGGCAGAACACCGAAAGAGATTTTTTTGCTATTTTCGGACGAATAATTTCGGTTGCTGAACATTCGGTGCATCCCTATAATTAACCATACAGAAGAAACATTATTAGCAGGAATATTGGGTTTCGGGAGTAAATCAGAAGCGTAGCCATGGAAAGGCAGACAGAAGTGTTTGGGAATTTGCCAAAAGTGGATTTTTTTTGTTGTCTTTTATATATGGCTGTAGATGAATTCCTTGTCGATAGATGAGTTCATTGAGTTTGGAAACTTCCCATAGGGAATTCATGGGACGGTGTGTTCTGTGTCTCATCTATAGCCTTCAAGACGTTCATTTCTGTGTCATCAGTCAAGTGTTTCACTCAATATCGTACGTTAATGCCATTGTGTTTTTCTTTCTCCTCTAGTTCATCTGAAACGTCACTTCATGTTCCGGAACCACTTGTGTCTGGTCTTCGAGATGTTGTCCTATAACCTGTACGACCTGCTGAGGAACACCAATTTCCGCGGCGTGTCTCTGAACCTGACGCGCAAGTTTGCTCAGCAGCTGTGCACCGCGCTGCTCTTCCTGGCCACGCCTGAGCTGAGCATCATCCACTGTGACCTCAAACCCGAGAACATCTTGCTCTGCAACCCCAAGAGATCCGCCATCAAGATCGTGGACTTCGGGAGCTCGTGTCAGCTGGGACAGCGGGTGAGACTGCTGCAGTCCGGTCGATGTGCTCAGAGTTTGTCGTTTCCCGTGTTGATTTGAGTCTGTTTGTGTTTGACTGCTCCTCAAACCTCATTCAGTAACACGGCCGTATGTGTCCTCAGATATACCAGTACATCCAGAGCCGGTTCTACCGCTCGCCCGAGGTGCTGCTGGGAATGCCGTACGATCTGGCCATCGACATGTGGTCTCTGGGCTGCATCCTGGTGGAGATGCACAGCGGAGAGCCTATGTTCAGCGGCGCTAACGAGGTGAGCCCTGACCTGAACCCGTGCTCCTCTAGTCCGAGGTGCTCGACAGGCAGCACACATCCGGCAGTTACAGGTCTATATTTGTTTAAATTGTTGTCAGATGAAATCAGTTCAGTGGAAGCAAAACTTCATGCCAGTGATACTGAAGGATGTTGCTGCCTTAGAAATTATGTTTTGTGCTGGTACCTTGGCTGGTTTAGGCCTGTCATGGATAAATATGACCATAAAAGCAAAACATGCATTCAGTCTTAAAGTGACAGCAGCCTAATAATCTGTCATTTAATGTCAATCAAACAACAAAAGACAAAGAGAAAAATCACTCACTGCTCTTGACTGAATAACTTTAGTAAAGATTCATCTAGATTTAACTTACATCGTGAAGACTATGCAGTGTTATTCACATTTGTTTACATTTCTGCAGTATTTCTTACCTGAATACTACCATTAGACCTACCTGAAAAACACAAAGCACGATTTCATTTGAGTCTTTGTTCTGTCATATTTGTGATGTTGCTTGTAATTTGTATGTTTTTTTTCTTATTTTATTATAAGACCGCTTACTTGTCTTCAATAATGTTTGAACTTTATATCAGTAGAGCTAGTAGGTTTTGCTGTGGTCCTGAAAATGAGAATTTTACTAGCATCTCAAATGTTGGTGCTGTAACAGCCTTATTAGAATACAAGGCTCAAAAACAATGAAAACAAGACATTTTTGCATCACTGAATATTTTGTCAGAGCAAGTGCAAATCTGCAGCACTGGTCTGAGCCGGCCGGTATAAACGCATGATTAGCGCTGTGATGTAGTCGTCGATGTACCGTGTGTGATGGGTGTTTTGTTGGCAGGTCGACCAGATGAATAAAATCGTGGAGGTGTTGGGTGTCCCTCCCAATCATATTCTGGAGCAGGCGCCTAAAGCCAGGAAGTTCTTTGAGAAGATGTCTGACAGCACGTGGTGTGTGAAGAAGACCAAAGATGGCAAAAGGGTGCGGTTCTTTCTTTACATTGATCTGCCGGCTGTCTCTGTTTGATGCAGTGACTGACTCTTCTCGTCTCTCCCGTGCGCAGTATAAACCCGCAGGCTCCCGGAAGCTGCACAGTATTTTGGGCGTGGAGGCGGGTGGCCCCGGCGGGCGGAGAGCCGGTGAGTCGGGTCACGCCGTCGCAGACTACCTGAAGTTGACAGCACGTGGTGTGTGAAGAAGACCAAAGATGGCAAAAGGGTGCGGTTCTTTCTTTACATTGATCTGCCGGCTGTCTCTGTTTGATGCAGTGACACTGACTCTTCTCGTCTCTCCCGTGCGCAGTATAAACCCGCAGGCTCCCGGAAGCTGCACAGTATTTTGGGCGTGGAGGCGGGTGGCCCCGGCGGGCGGAGAGCCGGTGAGTCAGGTCACGCCGTCGCAGACTACCTGAAGTTCAAAGACCTGATCCTGCGGATGCTGGACTACGACCCCAAGACCCGCATCCAGCCGTATTACGCTCTGCAGCACAGCTTCTTCAAGAAGACCGCTGATGAAGGCACCAACACCAGCAGCAGCGTGTCCACGAGTCCGGCGCTGGAGCAGTCGCAGTCGTCCGGAACCACGTCCAGCACCTCCTCCAGCTCAGGTCAGAGAGGACGGCCGTGGTCACGCACTGATCTGAGACCATGAGTTCTGCTGTCACTGACTCGAAGCGCTGTGTGTTTGCAGGAGGATCGTCTGGAACGAGCACCAGTGGCCGCGCCCGCTCCGATCCGACCCATCAGCACCGGCACAGCGGAGGACACTTCAGTGCAGCGGTGAGCATGGACTGTCACAACCTCTGCCCGCAGGTGCCCACCACACACACACACACACACACAATCATGACCCTGACTCAGCTGAGCCCTATTACACGCATACACCTGACAGTAGTGCTGTCACTAACCATCATTTTGGTAATCGGTCGATTATTCTTTATAATTAAATTTTTTTGGGGGGGTAATAAAAATAGACCAAAGCGAACAATAGCCTTTAAAATTACTTAAATTACAGCAATGAGGCAATAATAATTAGTTCAAACAAAAGCAAGTAATCATAGTTTTATTGAACAAAACTGGTAAAATACATAATATATTATAAACAATAGAGCTAATGTACATTATGCATTATAACAAATGCCTGCAGAGGCGCCAGCGGCCTTGTTTTTACACTTTACAGCGTGATCTAATCCTTGTTTAATATTGACTAAACAACATTTAATTCAAATGACCACTTAATCTTTAATATCTGACCACTTCTTTACGACAGAAATGCTACAGCCACGGTCATTTCTGGACTCAGAGCGAGGTTTGGAGCTTTTATTTTGAAATTGCGATGAACAGTAGCATATTGAGAAAGATATTGATGTATTCTCAAATGATTTCGCTTATAAATCTGATGAAATGATGCACGTTGTGTTCCCAGATGAGCGTTATAATAAACCCAAACTCGCAGCATATGCAGAGATGGAGTTTGAGACGCTCCACACACATGTAAATGATAACGGTTTGTGCGGAGCAGCATTTACTGTGAATCGAGCCGCTCTGAGACGCTGAAAACACTGGAATCTGATCACGATCTGTTGGCTTGAACACAGTGTCACACTTCACTCTGAATCACAGCAGCAGATGATATACTTTTGCAGTTTGATAAGCACACTAAGCCATATCACGCTTTTATCATGAGACTGTTGGGCTGTCAGTCTAGATAATTCATGGGAATCTCTGGGTAAAGAACTAGCCACTGGATTTGATCGTTCGTGAGATTCATCACCTCAGATTTTTGACAGACATTCAGAGTTTGGATTGAGACACTCCGCAACGTCAACTGGAGATCATGACATTTTGTTTGTTTTAGATGACAGTCTCTTCCTGTCTTGGCCACATTAAATGAAATGAGTGCTGCGGTTCTACATCAGACCTCATAAAGTCACTCGAGTGAACACTAGACCTGCATGATCAGTGCATGTATAGCCATTTGGTTTTACTAACAGAGAGTTTGACTGCGAGAATGTGCCAGTTTGTTGGCTGCATGATTTAACGAGCTGGGATGTTGATCTGTGTCTGTGCTCTTCCTCAGGCGAGACAGGGCTTCGCTCCGGCGCTGGGTTGGGTGGGAGGAGACGGACTCCAGCAGGCGGCCGGAGAGACGCACCCCGTCCAGGAGACCACCTTCCACGTGCCGCCACACCAGCCCAAGGCTCTGCACCCCCATCATCATCATCACCACCACCACCACCACCCACCGCAGCAGCACGCCCCGGGACCCGCCAGGCCCCGGCCCCGCCTCTACTCGCCCTCTCACAGCGCCTCCACGCAGGACTCCATGGAGGTGACCCACGGCCACCTCTCCATGACCTCGCTGTCTTCCTCCGCCTCGTCCTCGTCCACGTCCTCGTCCTCCACCGGGAACCATCACTACGCCTACCAGAGCCGCCTGGGCTTCGGCCACAACGGCAGCATGACTTTGGGACTGGGTGCCTTCTCCAACCCGCGACAGGAGACGGGCGTGCCGGGTCACCCCTCGAACTCTGGGCCGGGCCACTACATAGCTGAGACTCACATGGGCCTGCGGCCGGGCCTGGAGCGCGAGGAGTCGCCCATGGCGGGCGTGTGTGTGCAGCAGAGCTCGGTGGCCAGCTCCTGACTATCCTAGCCTGAGAGCGTGCGTTTGTTGGGATTAAAGCTGCTGGAACGGGACGAGAGCCACCCGCGGACGCTTGACACGAGGCTTTCCTCGTCTGACCTTTGCTTCTGTTCTCCGATTCTCAGATGGTTTCAGATGCTCGTGCGCACGGGAGCGAGAGCGTCACGGCCGACCCACCCCAATCCCCCCACCGCGCTCGCGTCTTTTCTTCTTCACGTCGTGTGCTTCGAGCAGAGCTTTCCCAGAGTGCAATGAGACCCCTGTGACGGCGCGTGCGGCCGCGGGCAGCGCTTCTTTAAAATGGCCTTATCGTTACGGACTGAATGAAGACGAGCCAGACGTTTCTTCTTCAAGTGACAAAAGCTTTCATGTATTTTTGACGTGCGAACACCCTTCATTCACGACACGCCAAAACAGAACGGTGGTCCGAGGCCTTTCTTCACTAGAGATCCGCAGGACTGACGGTATCAGCGACGGCTGTGTCCCTTCCCGCTCTTCTGTTGTGCTCGGCATGTGTGTTTTACTTTGGCCCTTTCGCTTCTTTGATTTGGCTTCACGATTATGCTGTGAATTTTACACCACTTTTGTTTCTCCCTTTTGATAATTTATTGTACCAAAGGCGTTTTTTTTATAGAACATAGATGTCTGCAACCAATAATGTAGCAGTTCTGCACTTTGAAGCAAAGGTGTGTGTCATGTCAGTAAACGACTGTCAGAACTGGAAGTGATGATGTTTGATGTGGCGGAGAGCCCAATCCTGGACGCCATCGCTTGCGAAATTCTGTCGCTCTGTTTTTCTTTCTCTTCATTTCCTCTTACCAGACGGCAGCGGCACGAGCTGCAAGCATTTCCCGTCGGGGGTTTTGTGTTGATTCGGCTCTCACGGGACGGTGGACGCGGATGCTGCGAGCTGCTCGGCTGGTCCCAGAGCAGCTGGACAGTCGGAGATCCTCTCGAATCTCACGCAACGAAAGCAATCCGGCAGAGACCGGGAGGGAGACGGGCTGCTCTCGATCGCTCGCTCTCTCCGTCCGTCTGCGTGCGCGGTGGTGACGGGTGCGAGAGGGCGCACGGTTCTTTAGGGTTCCTGTGGTCACGGCATACAGAGGGAGTCCATGAAACAGGCTTCAGGTGTTTACTTTGTGACCCCATTTTAATAGCTGAAATAGAATTTATGTACATATTTATATTTTTTTAATAAAGGAAGTTTAGAACTCACTACTTTTTTCCTAATGGTATTTTGAGTACATTTACGTCAACTTGGTAACATGCAGTGGAAGTTCTCTGTGGTAGTCAATGGGTATCAGTGCTTCCAGGCCAAAGTAGTTGACGACGATGACGACGCTAGTACAAATGCAAAACTCTAGGGTTGAAGCGGGACGGAGAGTAGATCTTCATACTTTAATCTTCTAGACAGGGTATCGTGTGTGGATGTGTGTCCCACTCAGAACGGCATCGGGCGGCGCTTCACATGTTCGTATACTCCAGCGCTGACGTAGTATACATAGTACAGAAAGTAATTTTCTGTTTAGTTGTTGTTACGGCACACGCTTCAATAAATGGGTCCATTTGAAAGCAGAAATCGGCTGTGGCAGACGGGGAGTGTGTGTGTGTGTGTGTGTGTTCAGTGACTGTGTGTGTGAGAGTGTGTGTGCGTCCGTGCGTGTTCAGTGACTGTGTGTGTGTGCGTGTTCAGTGACTGAGTGAGTGTGTGTGAGTGTGTGCGTGCGTGTTCAGTGACTGAGTGTGTGTGTGCGTGTTCAGTGACAGTGTGTGTGTGCGTGTTCAGTGACTGTGTGTGTGTGTGTGGGTTCAGTGACTGAGTGACTGTGTGTGTGGGTTCAGTGACTGTGTGTGTGTGTGGGGTCGGTGTGTGGGTGTTGAGAGTGTGTGTGTGTGTGTGTGTGTGTGTGTGTGGGTTCAGTGTCTGTGTGTGTGTGTGTGTGTGGGTTCAGTGTGTGTGTGGGTTCAGTGACTGTGTGTGGGTTCAGTGTGTGTGTGGGTTCAGTGACTGTGTGTGTGTGTGTGTAGTGACAAACATCAGCAGTGCTCACTAACTCCTAGCGTTTCAGGTCACACGTTATGATTTGAAATCTCTCTCCCTGGTCCGACTTTCCCCTCGGCTTCCCGTCCGGTTCGCATTCTCACTCCTCGTTTGGTTCCAGGACATGTGATGATGATGATGATGATGTAAACAGAACGACAGACGGATATCTCGATCTTTATCCACAATTTGTAAGATCAGGACTTTCTGTGTAAATTAAAGTGTCACTGAGGGGCAGTAATGGACAAACCCTTTGTACTATATTCAAGCGGTCTTATGTATGATTATAAAAAACAAAGTTGCTTAACTTGTACCTGGTCTTCTCTCATTTCTTCATGTCAAGTTCTTCGGTGTCTGAATCACGAGCCATGAAAATCCCCTCATCGTGCTCTCGAGTGCTCTTCAGCTGTCAGAAGCTCAGGTCTCCAGGTTTGTGGCCTCCATTAATGCACAGGTCGTGAGTGTGAAGGATCGTGGGAAATGAATGTGGTGTCTCAGATGAGGTTAGTCCTGCTTCACGAGTGTAACCACACCAGAACACTGCTAACAGAGCCACAATAGTGAATAACACATCAGAACCACCAAACATTCAGGACTGTAACCACCAGAGACCGACAGGCATGAGTTCCTCCCAGTGATTAGAAATGGCCAGTCTTTGTGTTTGTGTTTGGACGAGTACGTTTGTAGGTTGCCCTCAATGTCAAAATGATTGAGATGCTCGATCTAATCAAAGACCGGCTTTTCCACTAGTTCTTTTAATGGCCTTTCCTTTCCTTTAATAGCATTAATTCAGGCCCTATTCAGTGAAATGCCATCACTGCCCAGAGCTCCACACGTTAGGGTTCTGCTCATCTGGTGAACCTGAAGCTAGTTTAGCAGCTCTTCTCAAACTTCAGTGACTGTTTGCCACTACACTAATAAACCTGCGTGACTCTGGCCTTTATAAAGGAGTGCAACTACTGAGAGCTTGTATGCAAAATGCGAAATAACATAAATTCGTGACGTCTGAGGAAATACTGAGCCGTATGAATCATGTAAGTGACATTTATTTAATTCAGAAAATGAGTCAAGAATTAAAAGAGTCTAGGCTTGTTTCACGCTCACTCTCTGTCCATATTTTCTTTCACATAACCTTGCTGTCTTGATTTGCGTTGAAGGAATCGTTCACAGTGTGCACAAAGTCAGTGTGGTGCAATGAAACATTCTCCTAAAGAGCTTCTTTATGCCTGTGAGTGAACTCTGACCTGTAAGTAATGTTAAAATAGAAAAAATGCATTGTTTACGTTTCTTTAGGATATTAATCATATTCAAAAGGACGCTTTCTACCCGTTTGTGTTAGCTAATCTAAGGAACTTGTTTTCTGTAAGCCAATCACAAACTACACTCGGGGAAGTGAGTGACGTCACTGTAGCGGAAGCGGAAGTTACAAAGAAAAGCCGTGGCCACCTCGGTGACGTCACTTCTGTCGCGCCCCACTGTGCACCCTAAATAGTGAGAGTAGAAGAAGCGCGTCCCGAAGCATAGTATGTTGAAAAGAGTATGCCAAAAGTCCCCGGTTGGTCTACTATTTCGGGTTGATTTTTGAGGCGTGTATCCGTGCACACGCTGATGACTAATATTGCCCACAATCCATTGCGCTTTGGCGAAGCTTTCGCTTCAGAACTACAAACACGAATAAAAAGTGTTAAAAACTACAATCATGGCGGATGTGTGCGACCAACGGTTTAGTAGAGAGGTTTAGATAAAGCGGTACGAGTTACTAATAATCAACATTTAATTTAACCTGGTAAAAAATATTCCTTTAATGTTATCTGTGTCGTGTTTCATCAGCAACAATTATGAGAACTTTTATAAGCATCCGTTTGGACATTAACTTTATTATTCCGGCAGATCAACATGCTACTTTTCTCTCCGGAAGTTAAATAAAATAAAATATGGAGGATATAAACTGACAAGATGACTGAGAGGCCAGTTTGCAGCGACAGGGTGCGTGTAACTAGTCCGACCTGATCGTTTGTCCTAAAGCTTGCCTGCTGTTCTGCTACACACTCAAAAGTGTGCTGCTTCTTCACCAGAGAGCACGTGCTTCACGGGCGAGTGTAAGTGTCAGCGGCTCAATCCGAAGCGCCTGTGATTGGTCCGTTCTGGCCCGCGCTGAGAAAAGTAACTGGTGTCACGTGACAGCTCTGTGCGGCATTATTTATTATTATTATTTATTATTAATGACAAGCTTCCTCAGATATCCGACCGACACGAGGCGGAGAGTATGAATAGCTAGGAGAGTATTTATTTTTTCTAGATAATTTATTTTCGATATATATATATATATTGAGGTCGGTGACGAACGGGAAGAGGCGGAGTCTGCAGCTCGAACACGGAAGAGAAGAAGACGGCGGGTCGTGACCGAGCTCCGGGGACTCATGGGCTCCACAGCAGTCGCTCCGTGCGCTGAAAGATGCTCATTACGCTGTGCTACATCTACCTGTGGCTGCGCTTCCAGAGACACTACACGGCCGTGATCCGCAGCGCGTTACACCGCCTCAGCGGCGGCCGGAGCAGCTTCACGTTCTGCGCGCTGAAGCCCGAGAGAGCCGATCTGCCTGAGGACACGCTGTTCCTGAGGCTCGGAGACAGAGTCATTTACATCACCGAGCCGCAGGTGAAGCGCCAGCTGTGTGTGTGAGAGAGAGAGAGAGAGAGAGTGTGTGTGTGAGAGTGTGAAAAGTGAGTGTGTGTGTGTGAGAGAGAGAGAGAAAAAGTGAGTGTGTGTGTGTGTCTATGAGAGCGAGAGAGTGAGTGTGTGTGTGTGTGTGTGTGAGAGAGAGAGAGAGAGTGTGTGTGTGGAGAGAGTGTGTGTGTGTGTGTGTGTGTGTGTGTGTCTCTCTGTGGCCTCTTAATGTGTGAATGAATCAGTGAAGCTCTGAGGATTCCTCACAATGACCGAACACTGTGTGTGTGTGTGTGTGTGTGTGTGTGTGTGTGTGTGTTCTGCAGGCGTGTGTTGACCTTAGTAAGTGGACACTGTTGGGCTCTTCGCTAATTTGTGGTCGGCGGCTAGAAAGCATCGCCTTCATCATAGAGGCCACATCAAGACAGAAAGTTCCAGCATCTCCATACAGAACCAACGAGAAAGTAAGTCCAGATCTTTCTACACACACACACACTCTCTCTCTTACACACACACACACTCTCTCTCTTACACACACACACACTCTCTCTCTTACACACACACACACTCTCTCTCTTACACACACACACACTCTCTCTCTTACACACACACACACTCTCTCTCTTACACACACACACACTCTCTCTCTTACACACACACACACTCTCTCTCTTACACACACACACACTCTCTCTCTTACACACACACACACTCTCTCTCTTACACACACACACACTCTCTCTCTTACACACACACACACTCTCTCTCTTACACACACACACACTCTCTCTCTTACACACACACACACTCTCTCTCTTACACACACACACACTCTCTCTCTTACACACACACACACTCTCTCTCTTACACACACACACACTCTCTCTCTTACACACACACACACTCTCTCTCTTACACACACACACACTCTCTCTCTTACACACACACACACTCTCTCTCTTACACACACACACACTCTCTCTCTTACACACACACACACTCTCTCTCTTACACACACACACACTCTCTCTCTTACACACACACACACTCTCTCTCTTACACACACACACACTCTCTCTCTTACACACACACACACTCTCTCTCTTACACACACACACACTCTCTCTCTTACACACACACACACTCTCTCTCTTACACACACACACACTCTCTCTCTTACACACACACACACTCTCTCTCTTACACACACACACACTCTCTCTCTTACACACACACACACTCTCTCTCTTACACACACACACACTCTCTCTCTTACACACACACACACTCTCTCTCTTACACACACACACACTCTCTCTCTTACACACACACACACTCTCTCTCTTACACACACACACACTCTCTCTCTTACACACACACACACTCTCTCTCTTACACACACACACACTCTCTCTCTTACACACACACACACTCTCTCTCTTACACACACACACACTCTCTCTCTTACACACACACACACTCTCTCTCTTACACACACACACACTCTCTCTCTTACACACACACACACTCTCTCTCTTACACACACACACACTCTCTCTCTTACACACACACACACTCTCTCTCTTACACACACACACACTCTCTCTCTTACACACACACACACTCTCTCTCTTACACACACACACACTCTCTCTCTTACACACACACACACTCTCTCTCTTACACACACACACACTCTCTCTCTTACACACACACACACTCTCTCTCTTACACACACACACACTCTCTCTCTTACACACACACACACTCTCTCTCTTACACACACACACACTCTCTCTCTTACACACACACACACTCATTAACACACTCTTCATTTAAGTAGATTTTTCTGAGCTCACTGACAGATATTTGTTCTTGCTTCATCGTTTGCCGTTGTCATTCTGTCAGGTGTATTTAGAGCATGTTCTCTGCTCTGCTGATAAGTGGCCTCACTGAAGAGAAGTCTGTGTGTGTCTGTCGTCCAGGTGCTGAACTGGTCTGATTACTGTCTGCCGTTGGCGCACAGTCCAGGACAGCCGTACCGGGCCGTCGCTGAAGCCAGCCTGGAGAATTTCAGCCGCCTCGGTGTGGCTTTTATGGAAGATCGTCTGCACATGGGCAATGGGCTCATACCTGAAAAGATAGTTTGTTAGTTTGACCAATGAGTGACGTCTTCGGGCAGGTGTGTGGATTCCTAGAGTCGCGCTAACGCAGTGTCTGTGTTTCTCTCTCCTAGCCGTGTTACTCAGAGAGACGGTGCTCGGAGAGCTGTTCGAACAGCAGCAGGACGCCAGGAGGATCGAGACCGAGCCGACTGAGCCACGAGACTCTCCACAGCCTCCCAGAAAGAGCAGCCTTCATCTGGAGCAGCAGCACATGGACGGACACCACCTGCACCTCTCCAGCTGCCACGAGTGTCTGGAGCTGGAGAACAGCACCATCCTGTCTGTGAAGTGCGCCTCCGCGGAGAACATCCCAGATCTGCCCGACGACGAGGAGGAGAGCGGGAGGAGGAACGCCAGCGGGAAGCCACCCAACCTGCTGGTGTTCACAGGCGGCTGCGAAGAGCAGTTCCAGAAGATCCGCTCGCTCCTGGAGGAGTGTGTGGACACGGAGCGCTACGCCATCTACCACCTGCGGCCGCAGCAGGCCCTGAGCGAGCCCTGGCTGGAGAACACGCTGCTGCTGGTGCTGGCCACTGATGAGACGCTCACGCCACAGCTGCAGCTGCGCTTCCTGTCCTACCTGAGCCACGGCGGGAAGCTCCTGGGCCTGTCGTCCTCGCTGTGTCCCGCCGGACTCACGCTGCGGCCCAGAGATGCGCAGAACGACCGCATCTGCAGCCTGACCTTCAGCAGGTCGGACAGCACGGAGCTGCAGCTGAGCGTGTTGTCCAGCGGGAGTGTGTACGAGCGAGACGGAGCCGGCGGAGGAGAGGTGGAGCTCTGGGGCCAGATCAGCGCGCAGGACGAGAGGGAGATGGCCATCGTGCGCGTGACTCACGGAGAGGACAGCGGAGAGGCCGTCCTGTGTCAGGTAATGAGCTCTACTTAAACTACACCCTTAAAGTATGCGCATACGTTGGAGTGTGTAGTAGAAAGGTTGGCAAGCTTTAGGACACGCTGCTTCATCATAACTGTGTCTTGCATAGTTGCGTGCATCCTGTCACCATTTAAACCGCCCTGTCTATCACGGGTGCTTTCAAAACACTAAATGACACACTACACACCATTTACAAGACTAGAGTATGAATTATATAAGGTTATTTTATCCCGCTTTGAGTGCATGAAGTGTCCAACATTCCACACTCCGATTCTTTCGGTTATTTAAGTGCATCATCCATGTTTTTAAAGTGCACTTTTTCTTTTTGGAGTTTTCCGTGCACAAGGATGCGATTTGGGATGCACCTTTGGTGAAACACTTTGCTTCTAAATTATTTTTCAGACCCAGTGGTTCATAGCACATATTAATCTTCCAAAGTCACATGATTTCAGTAAGCGAGGCTTCGTTATGGTTTGTGATGATCTCTGTGAACCATCGTCTATGGTGTTTTTACTTGAGTTTCTGCTGCGTTTACACAGTTTTGACCAGCAGGTGTGGCCGGCGTGTGGCGTTTCGAGCGCCGCCTCATTTTGCGAAGCAGTTGATTGAAAGATTGGAGAGGTTTGTTTCTCATCATTACAGAACGGTTCTCTTGTGTCTGCGCTCCGCAGGTGCGTTTGGAGACGGCTCCGGATGCTCATGATGCTCAAGGCTCCGCCGGCTTCTCAGAGCTGAAGATGAGCAACGGCCGGCGCTACGAGGTTCTGACGGAGATCCTGACGTCTCTGGGTCTGAGCTGTGAGCTGAGTCAGGTGCCTCCACACAGCCCCATCTACCTGCTCAGCACAGACACGGTGAGAGACTCGTCTGCTTCTGCAGCGCTTCATACAGTGCAGCTCGATTCACAGATAAACAGGAAGATAACCGTGTCAACGTGTCCGTCACAGTGTTGATTACCAACACTAACCCATTACTGTGTTGCCATCAGATCCGTCCATGATATTCCTAACCTACACATACAGATGTGATCGTCAGTTTAGTCTTTTCTATATGTGTATATATACATGCATACAGAAATTATTATTTTTATTTTTACATCCTGCCCAATCTTGTCTAATATAACAATGTTTATATTAAAAGCAATGAAAACTATATATGCTATATATTATGTGCAAAAAAAGTTACATTCTAACATTGTAACATTACAATCTAAAAACAAAGATAATGCTTTTAAAGCAGAAGTTAAAATCACTAAACTAAAATGAAAATGAATAAAAACAAAAGCACAGACTAATTCACTTGTAGGTTTAAAATTCTACATATGGCACAGTCATTGTCCGAAATGTAGCTATGATTTAAAAGGATTATAAAAAGATTTAAAGTGGTTTGTGTCTTTGGAGTCTTGACTGCGAGCTCTTATGATTAGTGCTATAAGAACAGAACAGCCCACCTCTAGTTAAGTGATTACGCTCAGTCAGTGTAATGCAGAGTTCTGTCCACAAGGTGTCAGTCTTTGTCTGTGACAACCTGATTTTACTGAAAATTATCAAAAGTGAGATAAACAAAGGCATCTCTAATATTTGTGCATTTGAGGTTAGATGTTATGCATGAAGTATAATTTAAATGCATGCATATATACAAATCAGATATATATATATATATATGTACATATGCATGCAAAAAGGTAATTGTAGCAGTAGAGGCAGTGAAGCGCGTGTTTGACATCAGTTCATTTAGTTTTCCATTAGCTGCTCGGTCAACACTGTTCTCGATGACCCTCGGACAGAAGCATGTTCTTTGACGTCGATCATTTACTAAGCGTTGTTCATTGAACCTCGGATGCCGTTTCCCACAATGCCTCTGTCGGCCCCCTGCTGCCGCCGGTGTCTGTCTGTGCTAATGTGGAGCTGCGCTCTGCTTGTTAAGATGCTGTCGCTCCCCAGAGACGGCTGGATTGTGTCTGGATTGTGTGGTCTGATGAGAAGCGGGCCGCTCTAATTGATTAAACAGCTCTGTGTTCTCCAGCTGATAATAAGGTCATTACTGCAGCGTTTGTCTGTTTACTCGTCTGCCTCCACAGCAGCTTCACATGCCCTGATCGTATTTCACAGATTTAAAAAAATAATTATATATATATTAACTTTATTATTATTGTTTTTGTTTTAAATTATGAATATTATTTATTATTATTTTAAATGTTATTAGTAATATTTTCATTATAATGAAATTATTTTTAAAAATATTAGTTTATTTTTATTGATTGTATATGCTGCACAGTTATATGTGTCCCTGCAGCACAGAAGCAGTGTTGAGTCGCTGGGGGATATTTGTAGCAATAGCCAACAATACATTGTATGGGTCACAATTATACATTTCTCTTTTATGCCAAAAATCATTAGGATATTAAGTAAAGATCATGTTCCATGAAGATATTTTGTACATTGCCTACCGTAAATATATCAAAACTTAATGTTTGATTAGTAATATGCATTGCTAAGAACTTCATTTGAACAACTTTAAAGATGATTTTCTCAATATTTAGATTTTTTTGCACCCTCAGATTCACAAATATTGTCCGATCCTAACAAACCACACATCAATGCAAAGATTATTTATTCAGCTTTCAGCTGATGTGTAAATCTGAATAGTTCTGAATTTGGTAATGGTGATATAATTAGTCGGAGCATTTTAATACACTAATGAAATCATGATGAGCTTCTCTTGCAGTTTACACAGAAGAAGAGAAGCCAACATTAACCTCGGCTAATTAACAAGCGCCGCGTCTCTTGAACGACACTTTGCTCTGATTTCAGCAGCACTGCCAGAAACACGTGTTATTCAAAGCTGTGTGACGGTGAAACAGTGCGCTGAGACTGAAGCTGTGTGTGTCTGTGTCTGTCTTTGCGTGCGTGTGTGTGTGTCTGTGTGTGTCCCGCAGGAGCAGACGGGCAGCTTTCTGCGCTGGCTACAGGAGCAGGCGGGTGGTTCGGGTGGAGTTCTGCGGAGCGCAGCCGGAGTGCTGAAGGTGGTGTGGGCTGGAGACGAGCCTCCGGATCTGTGTGAGGGTGAGCGAGTGTTACACACCGAGCCGCCCCAGAGTTTCTCTGAGCACTTCAGCCTGCAGACGTACAGACAGCACCTGCAGACGCAGCGGCTCGGACGGACCGTCCTGTACGCAGACGTCACCTCCAGCACCATGAGCATGCTAGACGGGTGAGCACAGCCGGCGGGGGGGCTGGAACTCATTTAATGCTGGAGTGAGCTCACAGAGGTAAGAGCGGCCTGATAGAGGCCTTTGTGTGCGGCGGGACTCGCACTGGGACACAGCCAGCGCACGGAGCAGGTGGAAGTCATTAGAGCTGTCATAACGTTTGAGTAATGGACGGCGGAGCGCGGCTGAAGTGATTGGGAGTGACAGTGTTGTCATTAGCCCTGTAAGCTAACGAAAAGGGGGCCGTGGAAAAAAAACATCTACAGTTTGATTTCCCCTGGCCTGATTATCAGAGTAATTTCCAGATGTTGCTCTCTGATTAAGTGGTATTATTCTAGAATGAGAGTGCTGAGTGGGCGGCGTGTCGGACAGGAAGTTCAAAACAGCGAGCGCAGGTCATGTGCTCACAGCTGCAGGACCTCAGCATTTATCCTCTCTAGTCACTATGTTCGGGAGGTTTCTCATCGCAGGACCAGAATGAGCTCACAGCGTTTATTATTACTGTTGTGCTCATTCATATTAATAGTGCTGTTAGTATTATTATTGTTGATTTGATGATCAGGTGAGCTCCAGATAAACAGGCATTTGATTCGTCTGATCTGTGGAAGATGAGGAGGTGTGTGTGTGTGTGTGTGTTTGATGAGCGTGTTAGCGCTCTGTTTGAGCAGCACACACTAATGATGGGCAGTCAGAGACTCTGTGTTTCTCACAAGGTCACAAACGGAGCAGAAACTCGAGGCCTTAAAAGTGAATGCATCAGATAAGATAGAGTGTGTGAAAGTATCTCGTTGGGGTTAGTGTGTTGCCTGATTAAATGGTTTTGTTCACTATCAGGGCGTGAGTGTCGGAGCATTGAGCTCTTCCTGTGACTCGGGCAGCACACGTCCATTTGGCTGCTTATTTGAAGAAGTTTATCATTAGTCACAACCTTTATTTTCATGCCATTCATCATCATCTGAAGATTGATAAACAAAAAGCATCACATTTTGTCATTTGTGGAGGAATCAAACGTGGGCTGCTGGAGTTGTCTAGAGGAACACGAGGCACTGTTTTCAGAGCGGGTCGGATCTCTTTCTCTTCTCTGAGTGTAATTAACACACACACTGAGGTCGTCCTGTCGTGTTGCAATCAGTGTTTGTTTTAACAGCGAATCCAAAACCCAAACTGACACGGTGTGGAATTAAACGGCACTTCCTGTGAAAACACCGGCTCTGTGTCACGAGGGGCCGGAGGAAAAGCCCAGCAGCCAGAGCATCGGGTTAGTACATGAACTGAAATTAGTCCAATTGACCTGCGTGCTCCAGCGACAATTACCTCAAATCGCAAGCAGATGCTCGTCGCTCTCATGACATATTCTCATACATCTGGCGCTCGGCGCTCACGAGAAGTGCGTGTCTGTGGCGAGTGTTGAGGAGCGCACGAGATCAAGTTTCAGCGCCGCGGCGGTTTAATCTGAAGCCAGCAGCTCTGGTGGAAGATCTCCTGCTGTGAGCTGAAGAGCATCACTGTCTGCTGAACAACCCTGTGTGTGTGTGTGTGTGTGTGTGTGCGCGTGTGTGAGAGAGAGTGCGCGTGTGAGAGAGAGCGTGCGCGTGTGAGAGAGCGTGCGCGTGTGAGAGAGAGCGTGCGCGTGTGAGAGAGAGCGTGCGCGTGTGAGAGAGTGTGCGTGTGCGTGTGAGAGAGTGTGCGTGTGCGTGTGAGAGAGAGTGTGTGTGTGTGCGTGTATGAATAAGTGTGTATATGAGTGTGTGTTTTACTAACAGCAGAAAGAGATTGATCAGCTCTGTTTCTGTTTGAAGATGGTAATTGCTGCAGATCCTCCAGAAACAGGATTTTCCCAATTAATCACATTTACAGATTAGACGGCTCTGATCGATCATCACATTTATGCCCTGCCAGATCAATACTAATATACTTATGCTAACAGCTAGAAATCCACTTTTAGCTCCACACATTGATGCGTGTTGTGTGTCATATTTCTGCTCTGTATGAGTGTTTGTGCATCCGCTCGTGTGCCACGGGTTTCAGAGCTTCTGTTGGGCGCTAATGGATCCCATGTGTTTTAGATTCTGTGACAATGGGCAATACACCAAATATTAGCACTATTATTGCAGTATCTTTGCTGACGATATAAAATGAGATAATATGAACTTAGGAACGCAGCAAATTCTGCATGAACGTGTCTTCTACATTCGTTTGCGTATGAGTGGTAGTTTGAGTCTGAATAGATCTGTGCAATAAGAGTCAGTGCAAACTAGAGCTGCTGCTTATTCTGTTTTCTGTGTATTTGTTGTTGCAACAAGCATGACTTTTTGTAAGAAGTTTGCAAATTTTTAGTATTTAATATTTTTATATTGGTAAGTAAATACGATTTTAAATGTTTCTTTTGTGTTAACTTAGTAAAAAGCAATAAGCGGTCACTGTCTTTAATTTTTTTAACTAGGTTTGATTTTGCATTAAACAATTTGTATGTGCTTTGTAACAATAGCTGGTCTGTCCAGATCACGTCTTTTTCAAAAAAAAAATAAATGTGTACATGAGCAAATGCACAAAAATATTGAGATATAGAATGAATGTAAACACAATTCCTACTTCAGACCTGTGCTGAGACGCTTGAGTGCTGCTGGGAAACATGTGAGTGAGTGTTTATAAGAGAGAGAGAGAGTGTGTGTGTGTGTGTGTGTGTGTGAGACCCCTTGGGTCTCCGGGTAACTGACCCTTTGGCTCAGTGGCCACAACAAAAGCACACACACACATTCACTCGGTTGTCGTGTCGGTCTGTGTTCTGGTCGTCTGTTCACTCACTGGTTAGCAGACGCTCACTAGTTCTGCAGGACTGATGTACTGGATCGTGTGTCTCATTTACTGTGGTTAATAGATGTGAGTAAAAACACTGAATTTGGGCATATCTGGACACGTTCATGTGTCTTCAGACAGTTTAATCATGTTTTTTCTCTGCAGTGTGAGAGACTGAAATTCTCTCATTGTTTGTGTCTTAATTACTAATGGTGCGTCTTTTCTTCTTTCACTCTTTTCAGGCCGTTACTGAAGTTTGTTCCTAATGCGGCTGCAGACGAGCTGCTTTCACAATGAGATTAACTGACCCTCAACACACACACACACACACACACACACACACACCTCACTGAGCCGCTAAGAGCATTACTGTGTGTGAAAAATATTGAGATATAGAATGAATGTAAACACAATTCCTACTTCAGACCTGTGCTGAGATGCTTGAGTGCTGCTGGGAAACATGTGAGTGAGTGTTTATAAGAGAGAGAGAGCGTGTGTGTGTGTGTGTGACCCCTTGGGTCTCCGGGTAACTGACCCTTTGGCTCAGTGGCCACAACAAAAGCACACACACACATTCACTCGGTTGTCGTGTCGGTCTGTGTTCTGGTCGTCTGTTCACTCACTGGTTAGCAGACGCTCACTAGTTCTGCAGGACTGATGTACTGGATCGTGTGTCTCATTTACTGTGGTTAATAGATGTGAGTAAAAACACTGAATTTGGGCATATCTGGACACGTTCATGTGTCTTCAGACAGTTTAATCATGTTTTTTCTCTGCAGTGTGAGAGACTGAAATTCTCTCATTGTTTGTGTCTTAATTACTAATGGTGCGTCTTTTCTTCTTTCACTCTTTTCAGGCCGTTACTGAAGTTTGTTCCTAATGCGGCTGCAGACGAGCTGCTTTCACAATGAGATTAACTGACCCTCAACACACACACACACACACACACTTCATTGAGCCGCTAAGAGCATTACTGTGTGTGTGTGTGTGTGTGTGTGTGTGTGATCCACAGCTGATCTCATATTTGTGTTGCTGAAATTAATTTGATGCCTCTTTACATGTTAATCTGAGAGGGATTGATTTCTGCTGAACAAAGACGAGAGAGAGAGAAAAGAAAGCCTGAGAGGTTTCTTGTCGGGTTTTTTTTTTTTGTCTCGTTTGTTCAGGGTTTGTGTGTCGTTTCTCTCTTTACCAGAAGCTTTGATCTCAGTTCTTCTTGTATTGTGTTTTTTCACTGCATTGAACTCGTTTCTAGCGTCGTGTTCCAGTTGAGCTTAAGAAAAACTCAAAATAGATACTGATTTCATTTTCGTGATTCTAGATTTAGTGTGATTTGTGTGCCCTAACCTTTTATTGTGTATAAAATCTACATGAATGAGACCAAAATATACGAGTGACACGAAAAAGAATCCGGATTCTCATAAAAGAATCAGGAAAATGAACCCCCCCCCCCACACACACACACACACACACACACACTCATACTGACACACACACACACACACTCTCTCACACTGACACACACTCACACACACACTCACTCTCTCACACACACTCACTCTCTCACACACACACACACTCACTCTCTCACACACACAC